TAATGTAAGAAAATAGCCAAATACTCAAGTGCCAAATGAATATCCTAACTAGTAACACATAATCCAACACATCAAGCCATATGTTGTGCATTAAGAGGATCTTCTAACAAGATGTCAACCTAGCTAAATCACCATATATTAAGTAACTTAAGGTTTGTGATCCATCACAACACCTAAGTATGTGCATAAAGTCTTGTTGTAGCAAGAGCTAACTTTTATGACTATAATGGGTTACCAAACTAACTTGTCTCAAGGAATTTCATCAAACTAAATCTCACAATCATAATATTTTTGGATTTTTAAATTTAAATTTTAAAATATATTTTAATAGGGTAAAAAATATTTGAAAATAAATAGATATTTTTATAAATTTTCAAAAGGCTTAATGATTTTAAATGTTAGCCTCATTTATGACCTAAAGTAATTAAATTAATTTTTAAATTTAAATAAAGTGACATGAACTAGGTTTCTTGTAATCCTAAATAGCCATATGAGATATGATTATGATAGAATAAAACTTATTATCATATAAACTATCACCCAATAATGCAGTCAATCTATCATGACCACAAGCTAATTCCTCAAACTATAGGAAGCAACCAAGAAATGTGTTAATTGAACCTCATACATATGTAAAATGTAATAATATGTCGGGTGATAGCTGAGCCCATCAATATCAGGCTTAAGATTTAAGTGTTTGAATGTGATATAAGTAGTTGAAAGATAGAAATTTTTCATAGATTTAGAAATAACTTTCAATGTTTAGATTACAAGGAAAGTCCAAGTAGGAATAGTCTATTTAAAAAAGAAAAAAATGATTTGGGCATAAGTATATACCCAAAGCTAAAAAATTTCAATCCAATGGTATGATTAAACAATAGAATGACTTGGTCAAAAGTGAATGACATAAGCTAAGATAAAACTCAACAAAATGTCATGATATATCTAAGTTCAAATGAGATTCTTAAAAAGGAAAGACAATAAGTTAAAGAAGTAATAAGGTTTAAAAAAGCATGATCCCATCAAATACGTGAGTTAACCAAAAGAGTAGGGCTAAGTTAAAGGTAAGCCTAACCAAAAGAACATGACTACATTAAGGACGGACTTGCTTAAAAGAGAGCGAACAAATTAGGATTAAAATAGTAAAAAAAAATAATATCAAGATTAGTGTAGTAAAAAAAGCATGACTACACTATAAATGAACTTAACCAAAAAAAATATGGCGACTTTAGGAGGTTTTTATACATAGGAGTATGTCTAAGGGCTTGTTAGTATATTCAAAGTGACATGATTATACTAGGAGATTAGGTTACAAGAGCATGATCAAGATAGAATGATTCTTTATCAAAAAAGTATGACTAGGGTAAAAAAGGTATATTTTAAACTAAGTATAAAATGGTTAACTAAGAATTTTTTTGTTACACATACGTTAATCTATTCCAAATTATATTGTGTTGATTACTAGAAAGTTTAAAATTAAAAATTCAATACTAATAGCATTGTATGATGATAATTAATTGGATCATATGATTAGTTATATTAAAATTATAGAACCATCGATCATACACTCCTTTTCTTAATTAGGTAAATTTAGAAATTAAACTAATTGTACTGTATAGTACATATCATATGGTATGATGATATAACAAATTTACCTAACTAAAACATACAAAATCTGAAAAGAATTAAAATATCATATATAATGTATATATATATCTTACAGTCTAATCAAATAAAGACATTTTTCTTAGAAATTGGTCAAACGTATTCTTATAATTTAATTTTAAATGAACTTCTAGTATTTTAGCTATTTTTTCAGTTTTTTGTTGTAAGAAAATTTGATATTTTCTATTTTAAAGGAATTTTAAAACAAAATGGGAAATGTGAAACATAAGGCAGAAGAAGGTGGTGGTAGGAAGACATAAATAAATAATGGCAATAAATATCAATTTAAAGCATATAATGCCATTGAAATCGCTTTATGTGTTTTAAGCTATGATGCACAGATACTGACACTGTGACATGGATACGACACGACACGGACACGGGACACGTCAGTTATTGAAAATATAGGACACGAACACAGCTTGGACACGTTATTATAGTTTTTATATTTAAAAAATAGTGTTTAAAAATTAAATAAATATAATTTTAAAAATAATTTGAAAAATAATAAGTCATTTAACTAGAATTTATGCTTAAATGATTAGTATTAGGATGTCGAGAGTCAGGTGTCGATGTCATTTATCAGTCACCGAGAGAGGAGATGAAAATACCTTCACTGCAACAAAAAAAATAAATAAATGAAAATGAGAATATTCGATGATTGGGTATTAAGTGCATATGTTGATTTGGTATATTGTGGATAGGAAATAAGAAATTTATTTTAAATCCCGCCAAATAAAAGAAATTATATTTAAAAAATTCATAAAATATTTAAGACATGCGTGTCGAACACGTGTGTCCAATTTGTATTTAATATTTATTAATCGGACACGTTTTCGGCGTGTCCGACACGTGTCGGAGGAGTGTCGGACGAGTGTCGTGTCGGTCACGGTGTCGGACACTGCACGCCTCTTTGAGGAGAACTGTCAGTGCATCATAGGTTTTAAATCATTCATTATTGATACTTTTGGGACTTCATTAAAACTGTGGAGAGATTTTCAAAATGTTTTGAATAACATTGAGCAAAAATTTTCAAGAATATTTTCATCAAAAAAATATAGATGATATCCAAACTTTTTTACATTTTCATGATTGTGGCTAAGGGAGAAATCCCTGGTTCACAATCACGAGGTGAGATCCGCATTGACGTGCAGGTAATCCAGATAATCATTGTACTATGAACCATTTTTAGGTGATATATAATATTCAACATCTAGAGTATTTTCCTATAAGAAAGCATAAATGATATATATGAGTTGTAAAATCAACCTGATCAAGCAAACATAATTAATTGTTGTATGAGATATAATTGTATGGATATGTGCTAGGCTTTGTTTGGGACTATCTTCTTACTGCTTCTTAAAACAATTTTTTATTATAAAAATTTAAAATGTTGTACTAAAAAGCGGCTTTAAGAAGCAGTAAGAAAGCCGCCCCAAACAAAGCCTTAGAAACAATGCACCCTTCATATATACTTGAAATGCTTATAAATCATAAAGGCTTATTTATACATGTTTAAATAAGCTCGGCTACTACCAATGTGGTTAAGCATGTTTCCTTTTCTTTGAATATGTTATTAATGCTCAACTTTACTTTAAACAAATTCCTAATAATTAATCTAACTAAGTGCACTTACACCTTAAATTACTATTATTGACTACTTCATGAGACAATAACCACTTCCCACTTAAGAAGTCCAAGTGTGAATGGAAGACAAAGGGCCCCATTAATTAAAAGAAGCTCTCATCATGTGAGGGTCACTCTAACATTGAGCTTTGGGTTGCTCCCACACAACATGACAATGCCATGAGAAAGAATGTCTTCACTTTTCCACTTATAATCTTCTACTTATCACTCTTGCAACCTTTATATTTAGCTAACTGCTCCATTTGAAAATATTCAACTCGACAAAAGTTTTCCCGTCAATTTGATCCACTACAGTTTTTCTTAAAATAGGGGAGCACATGGCACTCCTTATATCACAAATTATTTACTATACATCACTTAGTATTATTTTTTTGGGTTATTCAAGTGGCTTCCCCCATGTTCTTGCTTTTTAATTTATTTGCTCTTCATTGTCCTTTTTTTTTTTTTTTTTAACGGGTGGATATCTAGCTACCTGCTGCCACTCCCTTAGGAGGTGCTTTGCGACGTAACTAATCTCTCAACGTACCTAACAACAGCCAATCCACAGATTTCGGATCCACGCTTAGTGTACTACCCTCAAAGGAGGTGAGCTGCTTGGGAGAGCAATCGAACATGGGTTAGGGGGTTCCCAATCATGCTCGCCCACCAACCAAACAAAGCCCAGTGGGTATTCATTGTCCTTTTGATGACCTAATACAACACTTATCTTTAAATTTGAAATAATGGAAGAGCTCATGCTACCCATTTTCCAAATATATTATAAATAGTAATATAATTTTTTTAAGAAATAAAATAAGTAAAAAAAATATTACAAATTGCACCTTAGAAAAAGGGAAGATATATCAAAATAGTACTTATAATATCAATATTTATAATCTTCACCACCATAGTATCCTTACAACAATGCTTCTCATATTATATAAAATCCTAATGGAGATGCTTTGCATGGCATTTCAGAGCTTATGGGGCGCAGTGCAGCACTGGGAGAGTTCGGTTGCAGGCTTGCAGCAGTACTGGGAGAACAACTTAATCTAATATTTTCTACTTACTTTGATAATCATCTATTCACACTTCTCAAAACACGGTTAGAAGAAACCTAAGAGATTTTAATTAGTTAAATAAGCTTAGCAATAGAAAATTCTAATAACTTTTTTAAGTGGGACATTAAACTAAAAACAATTAAGTTTACTGCCTTAAATTTTATTATCTATTGCCATAGTTGCAAGTCAATTAAATATGGGTGGTGAGTTGGAAAGATCTTAAAACATATATATGTGCTTATAATTTGTCATTCTAATTTATTATGGCTCTTTGTTCTGTACATTTTGATTCTAAAGTATAAAATAAAGAGGGATTGAAAGAAAGATTGAGACACCTAATTATTAAATAATTCAATGGATTGAATTTAAGTTAATATTTATTTTTTAAGGAAATAGTTTTAGATCAACAAAAGTCATTAAAAAATGTTTTTTTTTTGCTAAATTCATATTTTTGATCTATATTCTTCATTAAATTTTATGAGCAAGAAGGTAGAAGTAAAGAACATGGTAGTCCAATAGGCAACGCTCGAGAGAATTTTGAACTAAACTCACATGAAATCCCTCTATTTAAAGAGTCCATGGCTCTCATCTCCCGAACCACCAGATTCCTCATTGCCTAACTCTATAAGCCACCTTCTAACTTCATCAATGGCTTCCCCAAAAAACCAAACAAGTAATCCTCTCAACGTTCAAGAAGAACAGAATGCACACATGATGAACTTCTCCAATTCCCCGCCATCCCAATCATCAGCTACAGCAGCTTCTTCTCCAACTGAGAGAAGAGGTAGAAGAAAAGCAACAGAACCAGGAAGGTTCCTAGGAGTAAGAAGAAGACCATGGGGAAGATATGCAGCAGAGATAAGAGACCCTACAACAAAAGAAAGGCACTGGCTAGGCACATTTGACACAGCCCATGAGGCAGCTTTAGCTTATGATAGAGCTGCTCTGTCAATGAAAGGTACCCAAGCTAAAACAAACTTCATTTACCCTGATCACAACTCTTCCTTCCACCCTTTCCTCAACCCAGTTTTCCACTCTCAAACCCTAACCCTAGCTGCAGCACCACCACCTACTCCATTCCCACAGTTAGAAAACCAAATCAATGACTTCACTCAATTCAACCAGCCTACTGCAGCTTTTGATCAGTTTCAACCAAGTGAGTTGTTTGGTTTTAGTAGTGATACTAGATCAGGTGAGTTGAGCAGTATAATACCAGAGAGTTGTTTGAACTCAAACTCAAGTAATAGTTCAGCTGCTTCAAAGCAAGTTGATGATGTTAGTATCGCAAAGAGCTATGGAACTAATGGAGATGAGAATGTAATTGATGAAATGGGAGGTGGGATTTGGTTGGATGAGCCATTATGGGAGTTTGGAGCTTGTAGCTTTCCAACTTGCTTTGATGGGAATATGGGAGATTATAGCAGTTCTTCATGGATGTAGTTTTCAGCTTCTGGTTCAGTGGCTCGATCAGTTTTCAGATGGCTATTTACTATCTTCTTCTCCAATGCGATGTATGAATGATATAAGTTGTGGGGGTAGCTAGTTTCTCTTCTGGGAACATGCTTTTATGTACTCATTTAGTTTTTAATTTGTGGGTGCTTTCATGGTTGATCTTCTTTTGATCAATTAGGATGCCAAGGAGAAGATCAGAAAGAGCTGTTGGTAAATTTTGGTTTAATCTAGTTTTAATATAAGAGAGGTATTGGCAGCTTATTATTACGTATATATACACAGCAAAATCTTGAAGATTAATCTAATTTAGTTAATTAGCGCTACTCTTCTCTTTGTATATTAGAAAAGAAAAACGTTGTGGTGTGTATTGTCTCATTAAGAACAAGCTTGACAATTGACTTCCTTTACTTAGTTAGCTAACTAAAGTCCTTATCCATGCATTTTAATAAACATTTTGGCCTCTATGGGCTCATTACGGAAATGGAGGATGACCAGTTGAAAAAAATTATTTTAGAATATTCTGATTTAAAATTATATGTAAATGAACTAGCTAGAAGATATTGTTCTGATATATATATATATATATATATATATATATATATAGTCCATTTTCCTCCAGAGAAAACAAAAGAAGATCTGCTGATGATTAACCTTTCTCCAGTCAACCAAATTATACCAATAGAAGAAAAATTTGAAAACAGTAAACCATCTCCCGTTATACCGTAACCCCCCACAGCTTCTCTTCAGCCCATAAAAAATAATCCACCACCCAATTAACAAGAAAAACCAAATCTGTAAAGTTTTATTATGATTTATATTAAAGTATTTTGATTTAAGTTTTATTATGTATATGATATAGGCATATAGCAATTGCAAACATTATTTTTTACAAAATAATAATAAAAACTTAAATAAAATAATTATAAAAAGTATATTTAAGTTTTCATATATTTTTTAAAAGTTAATTTAAATAAATTAGTTGTTATTTTCAAAATAAATTATCTTTTATTAATGATCAACTATTTCATAACTCTATTATTATATTCATTAATTAATGATTTTTTAGTTGTATTATGTATTAATCATACATTATATATTTTAATATTATAAATTATTAAATATGACGATAAAAAATAACTGAGCAGAAGCTATGAATTGTGAGCCAGAAAAAAATAGTAACAAAATACCATTTTTATCAAAACAAACTACTACACAAAAAATAATGATAACAATTAATGGAAATGAAGCTTTGTTCTTTATTTTTTGAGCAAAGTCAGCACTCTTAACTTTTTTAACTTAGAAAATGTCCTGTTGGAGGGCATCTATTCTCTCATTATGATCATTCAATTTTATTTGACTATTTAGTGTTAAACAAAAGTGAGTTGTTTAGAAATTCGAGAATAGAAAATTGAAACAAAACATACCAAAGATGCATGATAATATGTAGCAATAGCAATAGATAGTCAACAAACCTAGCAAAAGAAGAGGAAGATGAGTGTAGGTGGGGATAGTGTTGTAGAGAAGTTGATATGGAGAAAGAGAGGAGGTAAGTAGGTGATGGTAGATAGTTGATGAGATAAACTGTAGTAAGGATCGATAATGTCAACTCAAAAATGAGTCTCTAGTTGTGAGTCAATGAGTAGAGTGCGAATAGTGTCTAGAAGATGCTGATGTTTATGTTCGATAATGTCATTTTGCCGTGAAATATAAGGACAAGTATATTGGTGATTAATGACATGCTGCAATAAGGACCGAAGAGTGTGGTTGATCAGGCATTCAACACCTCCAATCCATCGATTCTAAGAGTGTGTATAGTCTTATATAATTATTTTTTAATTACTGGTTTGAATGTGATAAATATATAAGAGACTTTTGATTTATAAATTAGCGAGTTTAACCAAATATAACGAGAATAGTCATCGACTAAGAGTAGATAATAACAAAATCATTATGTGGCGGTGTGTCATTTCCAACCACGAGTTGGTCAAAGCTTGAATATGAAGTGGCTTGCTGAAGAGAGTGCTAATCTTGAGTGAGATGGTGTAACAACTCTTAAATTTTAAAAGATATATTTTGATCTGCAGCAATTAAAATTAGTGAAAGTACGTTTGATGAAAATAATTTCCCTATGTGAGTTATGCGAAACAAAAATTGCAAATTTCTTATTGTGGTGTATCTAAAATCTAAGTGCATTTTTAGTTCTATTGTTCCTCGACACAAATATTAACTATAAATTAAAAAAAAAAAAAAGAGTATTACAGAATATTAAAAATGACAAAAAAATTATTTTTAAAAAACAGATGATGAATATATAGTTGAATTATTAAATTAAGGTTTCGTTTGGACAGCTTTCTTTTTGCTTCTTAAAGCAGCTTTTTAGCACAAAATAAAAAAAAATTGTACTAAAAAGCTATTTTAAGAAGCAAAATGAAAACTGTCCCAAACGAAGCTTAATATAATTAATATTCTGGTAATGTCTATTGAGTAGCTTATTCTGGCTCGTAGATTAACGTTAACTTTTTCTTGGTAGATCAAGCCAAGCTACGGCCTACTAAGAGGCCTAATTACTGGATTATGCCATCAATTTGGGCTCAGTAATGGACTGCCCAAGTTTTTGTATTAATATAAAGCAATAAGTTAGCGGCCCAATCCATTAATTTCATGTAAATAGCATCGATTTTTGATACAATTCTCCTTTTTTTTGTTTTTACGGCCGGTTATCGGACCGTTTGGAATTCAATCATGATGCGTCATGTCACTTGATACTGCACAGTGGTACACAGTAACGATAAAAGTGACCACAGGTAATAGTTTCGTCAAAGAAAGAGTTCAAATTTCATAAAAATTCTCCATAGTCATTACAATAATTGCGTAGTCGATCCATTTGCTAATATTTTATCCTATTTTAACATATTCAACAATAGTAATAGCAATTAAATTAAATTAGGTGATGAATTATTAGACATAAAAGAATAAAATATTTTGGGTACCATATAATAAGATTTCTTATGATTATTTATTATTTATTTATTTATTTGGTTTGTCATGATGAGAGCCACCTGCTTCCCCTGTTATGGTAATAATTCCCAGCATGAAATAGCGAAGCTCCTCTACGTAATCATTTCTTCTGTTTTTTTTTTTTTTAATGAACAAATATTAATGTCGATCTATAATAGGTGTCAAAATCTTAATCATGATTAAAGTAATATAGAAAGGTGATAGGTTGATTTTTATTTGGGACAATTATTTTTTCCTTTTTAAAATAACTTTTTGAATAAAAAGTTTTTATTTTAAAAAATAGTAATAAAATTATCTCAAATCAAATCTTTATCCATCCTCCTTTTCTTATCTCTATGTAAGGTTTCGTTTGGAATGATTTTTTTTCTATTTTTTAAATCAATTTTTTAGTACAAAAATTTTAATTTTTTTAATTAAAAATCTGCTTTAAAAAATACTAAAGAAGTCATCCCAAACGAAGCATAAATCGTATAAATAACTTTTTGTTATAAATAATGATGAATTATTGTTCATAATGTTAGGTTTATGTGAAGAACATGAGGGAAAGCAATTGTCTTTCATCATAATTAACTGGTCGTAATTAAGACTTTGTTTAGAACGGTTGTCTTACTGCTTCATAAAGCAATTTTCTAGTAAAAAAATTTAAATTTTTTATCTAAAAAGATGCTTTAACAAGCAGTAAAAAAACGGTCTCAAACGAAGCCTAAATGAGCCAATGAAGGATGGCATTTGTTGACCAAAATTCTGTTATGATTGAAAAGAGATCATAGAAAAGAAAATTTCATTGAATTTTACAAAAAAAAAAAAAAAATTATCAGCAATTGTTTCTGCACTTGAATTTATTTTTACACGTCTTAATTATAGATATGTTCCTAAAATTTTCAATTAAAAAAGTGGGTTCTTGACATAAATATTTTAGTAGAAGATTTTCATGATTGATTTCAGAATCATCCAAACTCCATTTTCAATAAATTTGTAGTCGAAACAAATTTTTCGATAAGAAGAACAGAAAAGTACCAAAAGCTTTCTTATTTAAGTTCAAATGAATAAAATTTAAGCAGTCGAACGTATAGTTGAAAATTACCGATATGTTTTGAGAGATCAAATGATCTAAAAATTTTGCATTTTTATGCTTGAAATGAGTGTATTGATGAGCTGAATCTCACAAACCTGAGATTGTTCAGTTCCCATATCATTAAAATATCAAAAAGTTTGAAGAGTATTTATGATCAAGATGATCAACATTCATTGTCCAATGGAGTGTTTATGTTGTCTTATTGAAATTATTTGAATATTCCTCACGAAAAATATATATAAATAGACTCTCAACTTCTACACATTGGAGAAAGTTGGGAGGATGCCACAAAAAGGATTCCAAATGAGAGAACCATGAGCTCTACTTGCATGAATTCAAAGTCAACCATCAATACTAAAGTCGAAGCCAATCTTTGCTCAGAAGGTTGATGTCCATCATCACCAACAAGATTGATGTTCATCATCAACACCAACATTCACGCCCATTGTCAAAAATAAGGTAGAAGCACATCATCGACACCAATGTTGATGCACATCTTCGACTCTAACACCAATAATTGCTATTGACACTCAAAGTTTATGCACATAATCAGCAAAAAGGCCAATTAATGCTCAGCATCACCAAAAATAATAATACATGTTAACACAAATGGCGTTGCTTGTTACTAACAAAAAGATTAAAAACACCATCAATACAAACCACAACACTGATTATCAACAATAATGATGACAAACATTGTTAATAATAAGGCTGGTGAACGCCATCAGCACTAACATTGATGCATGTTGTCGACCCTTTTTTATGTCCAGCATTGCCAATAAGGTCGGCACATGTAGTCAACCCTAACAGTACTAATAGTCACACTCACTAACAAAGATGGCACGTGCTTTTGACCCCATTGCCACACTTATGCATTAGCATTGATGTCAATGTTACTAAAATTTTTCAGAAAGGCACGTGCATGTCATTTAATCCAACAAAACAATTAGTTACCTCAATCGCCAACAATTTTAGAAGATCTTCATCGACATCAATGCTAATGTCTATAATCTTTACTAAGCTCAATGCCCACTTTTGTGTCACTAATCTTCTGTCTTATAAGCCAAAAAGATCATGTAGATCCTCAATGATCTCTTGATGATAAATCTAATGCACTAAGGCTCCTCCTACTTCAATAATGAATGCCATCTTCCACATTACATGCCTACAATATTATATCAATATCTTTAATTTTGAAGAATGGCATCATATCTAATATATAAATCACACAAGTGGAGCCAAGGTAAATGAGACAAGCTAGTGATTTTTTTCTCTCCTGAATTTTTCGCACAAAAATCTCATATCCTATATAAGTTATTTTCAAGATTTTTTGGCAATGTTAAGATGATCTCTCTCTCTCTCTCTCTCTCTCTCTCTCTCTCTCTCTCTCTCTCTCTCTCTCACACACACACACACACTTAATATCTCAACACACACATAATGATTATTAAAAAATACATAAAATTGAAAGATCATATATCTCAATGATAAATAAATAAGTGCTTGATTTATGGAGTGATTGATTGAGCTTTTTCTATCCAACCAAAAGCCCCACATTTAAAGTACACTAGGGGTGGAACCAGGTAGAGCTCAGGGTGGACAATTGCTCACTCTGATTTTTTTTTTTCCTTAAAACAATAAGCATTTTAACTATCTTGTCTATCTTCTATAAAAAAAAATCATTTTTCTATTTCATACATAAAATTATGCATTTCATAATTCTACTTTGCCCACTCTCAAAAAAGAGGTTGATATGCCCCTGACTGTGACACACTAATCCCTTTATCTTCTAAACTTATTTGAATTAAAATGCTCACCAACCTCAATAATAATAATAATAATAATAATAATAATAATATGAGACATTTCATGTGAAAATAAAAAAAAATTGCTACAAAATTGTTGCAACATCATCATATATAATCTGTCATGCTTTGTAATAATGAGAAAGCTTACTTAACTTTGCTGAGTGCAATCCTATCATGCTTTTTTTATCAAGAAAAAAGTTTTCCGTTATGATTTGGACCTTAATCTATAGCATTTTCCATTTTTTTTGTAGATTTTAAAGCTCTAGGTTTAGTCATGGATCATCATAACCTTCTGCTACCTCTAGATCATTGAGTGCTTTTAATACAATTATTTACCACTAATCATTTTTTTTTAAGGAGAGGGCCCCCACTAATCCTGATTCACAGTTGTAAGATTAAAAATGTGTTTTGTTCGTGTTTGTTTGATGAAGTGTATATGGGCTGAAGGAGAAATCTAAACATTAGATTTAGATTAAGAAAATTAAGATCAATCCTAACTAAATTAACTAGCATCAAATGAAAATTTTTATTTCAATCATAAGGTATATATTTAAAATAATTGAGATTGATCTTCTTTTTATTTGAACCCAACTAAATGATAGAGGCCTACAAAAATGGAGTGTTAACGCCACACAAATTGGAGAAATTATTCCGTACAAGGGCTGGACACAGCTCTATGTCCAGAGGCGAATCAGATGTAGTCACGTCAGCGGTACCAAGCAGTACTGAGCTGAGGTACTGAGGAAAGGGGTGACGTAGCGCATTCTAGTTAGTCACCGGACGGCATTCAGCATCCGCACATAATATTTTTTTCCACAAATTGTGATCATCGAATTTGCTGACGCATGAACTACTTAAAATAGAACAGACACAAATGGCTTGGACGAGTCGAGTTAAATAAAGGTTGTTTAACTTAGCTCGTTTGTTTCCGCTTTGTGCGGATGGACGAGATGAACTTGTTATCTTACTCAACATTATTGTCTATGATACCAACAGAGGGACGTCATGCCGCCAGCATGGCACACCAACATCATGTAATTATGTTGATGTGTACTCATTATCATGTAATTTATCTGCAACATACAAATGTTTAATGTCATGAGCATGATATCATTCTTCTTTCACTTTTTTCCTTTGCTCTAAAGATTTGGAGCAATAAATGAATGAACATCATATGATTCTCATCTCTTGATGTATTCACTCAAGCTCAATCTCAACTGACTTGTGATCTAATTAAATCCATTGATTTGCTCCAATGTGGAACCATCATGAGCTTCGATCATTTTTCTAACCTTTGCCTCTGCACACGAAGGAATGAAGAAGAAGAATGAGGGTGCCTTCCAACACCCTGAGCTCTACTTATAAATAAAATTTTTATATTATTATTTAGATAATTTGACCCCCTCTATCTATTTTTTAGTCTTTATTATAAGAATTTTTAGGCAATTATCCTAGCAAATAGTAAATAAGATTTATCATTTTATTTATTCATTTGAATTCAAAAAATATCCTTACAACCAAAATTTGTTTGGAGGGCACTGCCCTCAGAAAACCCCGTGGGGATGATGTCCCTTGACCTCGCAACTTGACCGAGCAGGTCGAACCCCGCCAAAGAGCGCTACGCCCTTGGACCCTCGACATAACCGTGAAGCGTACAATGATTAAGGATATGAACAAATATGGGTTGCTATTGACCCATTTTCTTGTAGTGAAGGTTTGAGCCAAATTCAGGACAACACCAGCAATTACTTATAAGTTTGCCTCCCCTTAAAATTAAGGCTAGTTTCACCTCTGGTCATGGAATACTATTTACGTTAGATGGATTATAATATTGACTATATGAATCATACAAATTGTATTTTTCGAGAATAAAATTACTCAAACATAACTGCACAATCACAAGTCTTTTTTAGCATCCAGTAAAAAAGAATGATTTCTAGCTTAAATTTACATCAAATTTAGCACTTTATCCTGTACACAGCTTTACCCAGTGGTAATTGGTCTTTTACTTGGAGAAACATGTTGAAGAAAAACCAAAGAGGGCAATCATAGCTATCCAACCTTTCTTTCCCTGTAATAAACAATATGTAAAAGGTTCTTTGTCATGGCAAAAGCCTTCACCTGCATTCATCAAATAGAGAAGCTCCCCACCTGTTTGAGAAAACTTTTCTTTCTGATATTCACTCCTTTTCTTCTCCCAACCCTTTTGCCTCCTTACAACTCATCTGAACCTTTCCTTCTTCCACCTCTCCAAAAAGCTTGACCTTCTCACAGCTCACAACAATAGTACTCTTTAGAAGTATTAAGACTACTATAAAGTGGCAGAAGAAGAAGAAGAAGAAGAAGAAGAAGAGGGATGAGAGTTGCTACTGTTGCTGAACTGAAGCAGAGCATTTCAGGGAAGAGGACATTGAGGCCAAGTATGAACACAAGGCATTCCAATGAATGGTATCTGTCTTGACTGAGGATTTATTATTATTATTATTATTACGATTAAGCAGGAGATGTTTGATAGTAAATATAATTGAATAAAATACAGTAAATTGTAATTTATTAGGTTCTCTGAATGTTAAATCTGGAAAATGTTGGATGTTACTGTCTAAAATATGATTTTAATCCTGTAAGTGTTAGGGAGAAAAGATCAAGGAGTTCCAATTGGCCTAAATTGTAGTACATAATGATTCAATTAGTAATTAATCAGTTATTAGGATGCTAATTTAGGATTATTTGGTTAATTATTGTTTGATTTGATTTTACTACTTTAGTGTTCAAATCTATGTCTGTAACTGACTCCCGCCAGATTATAAATGTTTCAACCAGGCCTCTTTCAGAGTTTGCAAGTGATCTCACCATTGAAATCGGCTCATCGACCTTCCCACTCCATAAGGTAGCATTATTAATTCCTCAAAGTTCATCTTCCCAATCTGATTCATGGTTCTCAATTGTTTACAGTTTCCACTGGTTTCGCGGAGTGGAAAGATTCGAAAACTTCTATCTGAATCGAAGGATTTGAAGGTGACAAGAATAAATTTGCAAGGATTTCCAGGTGGTGCTGAAGCATTTGAGCTCGCTGCGAAATTCTGTTATGGAATTAGCATAGAAATCACCCTCCAAAATGTTGCCATGCTTCACTGTACAGCTCACTATCTTCAAATGAGTGAAGACTTCTCTGAAAAGAACTTGGAGCTTCTCACTGAGCTCTACGTTAAGGATTCAGTCATGCCAAGCATCAGAAATTCGATAACTGTCCTCCACCATTGCGAAAACCTCCTTCCAGTTGCTGAAGAGATCAATTTAGTAGGGAAAATCATCTCCGGCATTGCATCAAATGTATGCAAGGAGCAACTGAGCTCAGGACTATTGAAGCTTGATCAAAGCCTCCCTCTAAAGCAAATGGCAGCAGAGACTGAACAGCCTTCAGAGTGGTGGGGGAAGTCATTGACTGTTCTAAACTTGGATTTCTTTCAGCGTGTTCTATCTGCAATCAAATCAAAAGGACTGAAACAAGGCACAGTTAGTAAGATATTAATCAATTATGCACATAGCTCTCTTCAGGGGCTCATCATAAAGGATATTGAATCATTGAACTCGAGTCTCTCAGATTCTGAAACTCAGAAGAAGCAAAGGATCATGGTTGAAACTGTTGTTAGCTTGCTTCCAACTCAGTCCAGGAAAAGTCCTGTTCCCATGTCTTTCCTCTCTGGTCTACTGAAGACTGCATTGATGATATCAGCTTCTCCAGTTTGCAAAGCAGACTTGGAGAGGAGAATTGGGCTGCAGCTGGATCAAGCTATACTTGAAGATATTTTAATTCCTGCAAGCTCTAATGGCGACGGGAATAATCAGTTGTATGATACTGATTCTGCAATGAGGATATTTTCGATCTTTCTGAATTTGGAAGGGGAGGAGGAGGAAGGGATTCATTTCAGGGAGAGGGATGGATGTTACGAATATGATAGTCCTAGATCTCCAAAGCATAGCTTAATGCTTAAAATTTCGAAACTTATGGATAGCTATCTCGCAGAGGTTTCCCTAGATTTAAACTTAACGGCATCAAAGTTTATAGCACTTGCAGAGTTGCTTCCTGATCATGCAAGGTTGGTTACTGATGGACTATACAGAGCTGTGGATATCTTCCTGAAGGTAAAACATACTGTGTAGTAATTCTACTTTGATTTGCAAGTTGGTTTTCCAAACAAGTTTGAATTAGCTTTTTCTTGCTGTTTTTGGATTCATGAATAAGTAGGTATCATAATTATTAGAAGTGCAAGTCTGATTATTTTCACTTTTAGGGGTTGTTTGGTAGAATCTAGGATTTCATTTAAGTAGGATTTCATAAATCCTCTAAACCCGGATTTACGAAATCCAGGGGGGTTAAATCCTGAAAACTATTTGGTAACCTTCATGATAAATCATATGTGACTTTTTGGCTATTCCATTCAGTATTTAATGAGGTTGAAAGATTCTTCCTTCCCCCACCAATAGAGCCAAAGAATTTTAGAAATCTGCAGAATATGAGGATTTCCGAAATCCGGAATTTTCCGTCAACGGAGGCTTTGATTTTCCGTGAGATTTGGTTTTGCATTTTAGGCCGTTTGGCTGGATTTCGCCTCGGATTTCACCTCAAATCCGCCTCAAATCCGGCCTAAATCCACATACCAAACTGCCCCTTATTGTTTTCTCTATCTGAAATGCCATAGCTTGATTAACATATAAGAAGTAACCCTTAAACTTTACATACATCAAGACCAATCACAAAATCAAAGATGAAAACTTTTAGGTTCACCAAAACATCAAGGAATCAGAGCGATACCGCCTCTGCAAGGCCATTGACAGCCAGAAGCTTTCTCAAGAGGCATGCAGCCATGCCGCGCAGAATGAACGGCTACCAGTCCAAATGGCAGTTCAAGTCCTCTACTTCGAACAAATCCGGCTTCGAAACGCCATGAATGGAAACCATGAAAATCTCTTCTTTGGATCTGTAAACAGCCAATTTCCCCACAGATCTGGAAGTGGAGTAGGGAGCGGTGCGATATCACCAAGAGATAACTATGCTTCAGTAAGAAGAGAGAATAGGGAACTGAAGCTTGAGGTTGCTCGAATGAGAATGAGACTTACAGACTTGGAGAAAGACCACGTCTCCATGAAGCAAGAGCTGGTCAGAGCCAACCCGGCCAACAAAATACTGAGATCATTTGCTAAGAAGCTGAGCAAGCTGAATTCTTTGTTCAGGATGAGTACTATCAGACCTCTGAATGCAAAGGCTTCTCAAGATGCCAGATTCCTTCTTCAGAAACGGCGTCGGCATTCCATCTCCTGAGCTTCCAAAAACTGTTTCAGGTTCAGTGCTGGTGTGTGAACATACTATTCTTCGTTTTGGTTTTTTGGTTTGTGGAGTTGGATGAATCTGGCTAAGTGTTTTGTTTGTGAAGGAGAAGCTGTTTCTGTTCTTTTAAATGGAAATTATAGTGAAGAAAGTGAATATCGATTGATGAATTGTTGCTTAGAGCTTTGAGAGATGTAAATGATGGATCTATATGAGATTATGGAAATGATGAAAAAATGCTTTTGTAAGTCGCTGAGAAGCATAAATCCGTTAAACACCCTGATATCTTATTTTGTAAATGCCGGTTTAGATTTTTAGTCAAACCAACCAGATTATTTCTAGTCCAATCGATTGGATCATTTAAGATTTTATTTGGTAGAGCTTTTTTATTATTTTTTAAAGTATTTTTTAGTAAAAAAAAATTGTAATAAAAAACTGTCTTAAAAACTTGTAATAAAGTTGCCTCAAACGAACATTAAGTTAGTCAAACAAACTTATGAGTTAGCTCAAACTCAGCTTAACAAAAAGCTCATTAGCTAAGCTCAATTAACTAACTAATCAAATTTGAGCCAATCTCAACTCAATTTATTAGCTCACAAGTTAGCTCATTAAAAAATAATAATAACTCTAGAACAAAAAATATGTTAGAATTCAAATATAAAATTATTATAAATATTTAAAAAGTCTCTCTCTTTCTATCAGATGATTCTTAAATTCATCTTCAAAATTCTCATTCCTTTTATAATTTTATCATATTAATTATTTGAATTATAATCATTTTTTCTTTAAATAAATCAGCTCGATCCCTTAAAATTAAACACAAGCTCAAACTCAAATTCGATTAATTAATCAAATTCAAGCTCAAGTAAAAAATAACTAAAATTCAACTCAACTCGTTTACCCCACTAATCAAAATTCTTTAGATTTGATTTGACTTCTCCTTATACTTTTTCACACACACATATATATAAATTTTATCATATTGGTTCACATTTTTTTACAATATTAAATTTTGTTTCATATAGCTCAACAAAACATACATATATATAAATTTTGCTAACAAAATATCAATATACATGCCTTCTAATTGATCTTAGCTATTATAAGACCACATGAATAATAAGACAAGAAGAAAGATTATATTTATTTCATAAATATGAACAGCTGAAAGATCACAAGCTTAGTAATGGATGCTTTTAGCCATAAAAGAAATAATAATAATAATAATAATAATATTATTACTATTATGAAATTTTTATTAACTCATTAATGACAGATCTAATCTGATTTGGTACAAATCAAAATCATTACAGGGTCTATAAGCATCAACACATACATTTCTAGCAGCAGTAACTGTAGGAGCACATTTTTCATCCTGCATAGTTCACTGATAGAATAAGCTTAAACTCAAAACTAATGCCTTTTTGCCTGCTGAAAAATTAAGCAAAATAGAGCCTTGGCATCTTCTCCAACTTTAAAAAAAAAAAAAGAACAAATAGGTATGATTATGATGATGATCATAGTCATAGTAATAATAATAACAAAATAAAAAGATTTTTTAATCACACCTTGAGAACCAGGAGCTTAGACGCGTTCAGCATCGTTCAAGATTTCAGCTTCATTTGAGACAACTTTCTTACTGTTTTTTAAAATAATTTTTTAATACATAAATTTTCTAAATTAAAAATTTTTATATTAAAAAAAGCAGTAAGAAAGTTATCCCAAATGAAACGTTCCTAGGGCTTCATGGCTTCTGGCAGCTTAAGAAATCAGGTAGTTCAAGTTCATACTGCCATCTTAAAATTGCCTAAAGATTGCATATTTAACATTCAATAAGCTTAGTAATGTAAGCTTTTAAGGAAATCTACTATCAATAGTTGTTGGAAACTGTTCTGTATCAGGTTGTGAATGCGACGAACAGAACTACAGTATGTTTTAAAGATATTCCACAACATCATCATGAAAAAAAAAAATCAACAAATCAAATTTTGGAATCGATTTTCATTGAGAAAAAGAGCAGCACACAAATTTCAGGACAAAATATTGGAATGAACAACATATAAAACGATTGGATCCAGTCTGTAAATGAATGAAGGAATTCAAGCAAAAGGAAGAAAAAGCAAGAAGTTATATGCTAATACCGGTTTCTATGCAAAATGTGAAATGAGATCCACTCCATGGTTTCCTACATCAAGATGAGTCAACTACCAAATAATTATAAAGTTGATGCCTTCTTACAATATTTAGAAAGATCAACTTCCTACAACAACAACAAGAACAAGCCTTTGTCACACTACGTGGGGTCGGCTACACGAATTCTTTTTCTCCATTGTGTCCTCTGTTAAAAGTCAAATTCTCGTTTAAATCTAACAAAGAAATATCATTTCTACTATTTTATAACCAAATTTTTTTAGGTCTACCTCTACTTTTTTTAACATAAGTCAAATCTAACACCTTTACTTTTCAAACTGGGTCATCGGAAGGCCGCCGTTTTATGCGACCAAACCATCTAAGGCGACTCTCTCTAATCTTATCTTCTACTGGAACTACACAACATTTTCACGTATAGAAAGATCAATTTCCTCAGATTAATTTATATTCATCCATGCCAGTTTTTAATCACAAGCTTTTCCACAAATGAAATAATTTAAGTTTCTTTCTTACCATATAAATATTGAATTAACCAAATTGAGGCCATCTAACAGATCCAGATACTCCTTTTTTTGTGCCCGAAGGCCCTGGCTGTTCATTCCCATCGTTCCAAACCATCTCCATCTTGCAAAGAAACAAACAAATATCCATGAATGATCCAGAATCTCAATTTTGTGGCAGAATAGTATCAAGATTTGTTTAAATTAATAATTAATAAAAATTTCTTAAAACCAATAGAGAAGCTGTTAAAACTGAAAATGGTATCATACCTCACCCACAATTACTGTATCTCCTTCTCTTACACCCCCTTTACGCAAAGCTTTGTTCACACCACATGCCTCCAAAGCATGTTGGAACCTTCTAAGAGATTCATTATACCTACGCCATAAATGCGTACATCAATACTGATTTGAAGAAGAGAACGAGGATTCCAAAACCAGCAACTATTCAAGCATTAAACAAATTTTTACATGAAATGTGAATTTCATGTAAATTCAAGTAATCCTAACGCCAGAAAAGTTGAAGTAATTCGGAAAGAAGATTGTTTCAGAAACTGGCAGAGTGGTCGATACACTGACTGCATGCATGCAACCACACCATATTGAAAGCTATACCATCTTCCAGCACACAGCATAAAATATAAAGTAAAAGGGAACAAAATTATCAGATTTAATTTTTGATATCAACTTATTTGCAACAAATATAGACTTTCTAAATAGTTTTAGCTAAATCCTTATTTTTCTAAAGAAAAAAAGCATCATTATTGAACATATTCATTGGGTTGTGGCAGTTTATTTACACCAAACCAAACACTGGGATAGAATGTAGAATGAAATGGAGAAATAATTTGGCTGCGGAGTACACCGAAAACTGAGACAAAGTGCTGTTTTAGATGGTTCCAGAACAAAATAAATGCAACCAATGTTTTTAGTATTAGCTAACTCAGAAAGATTAATTTTCAATCACCCTCTTCAGATCACACTAGCACTTTAGCCAACCAAACAGCCCTTAATGTGTATCCAGGGATTGCCTTGAGTCAACGAGCTTGGTTGGAAGTTGGTATTACATGTGAATTAATGTTTCCATAAAAAGGGTAGCTTAGTTGAGTAACATAAACAAGAACTTATCATGTAATAGCCGGCTGTTTTGGACCAGTTTAATCAAACCAGTCCCTTTTTTAGGCATAAACAGCAAGCGAGCAAAGCAGAGTGTAAGCGAGCAAGCAATTCGAGCGCGATCTAACATGGGTGCGTGAGGGGTCGGAGGCAATCACAAGCAGACGTACATGACTCCTCGCAAGGGATAAATCAAATTCACTCCATCCAGCGAAGCCAAAGCAGAGAAAAAGAAGAGTTTGGGCGTGGAAAAAAGAATATTGTACGAGTACGAATGAGGAGTTCGTATTTTCTTTTGTCGGAAATAGATAAGAAGATCACTGTTTTTTTTTTTTCAATTCTTGGTGAAGGAGAAGGTTGGAGGAGGAAAATTTCATGTTGTTGATGTATGGAGAAGGGTTGATGCTCTAAGAGAAGAAGAAGAAGAAAATATATTGTCTAAGAGAGTAGAAAGAAGAAGAATATATTACAGTCTATGTGATCTCGATTCATCAGGAAGAAAAGATAAATTAATATAATTTAAGTATATATTATTTTGATCATATGATATGCAACATAATTAGCATATGACTTAATGAATGAAATCATCCAACATTGCCCTTGATAACATTTGATTTCTAAGCAGGTGTACTCGGGAAAAAATTATGCAAGGTTAAATTGTTAATAAAATTTTAATTTAAATTTGATGTTATCAGTAGAGACTGACATAATTACATCCTTGTAAGCTAGATTATGCCCTAAGGAAAGCAAACTAAAAGTTTAAGCAAATCTGAAAAAAAATTGCAATATTCAAAGAGGAAAAGAGGTAGGTGATTACATTTATTTTATAGCATATATATTTTTATTATTGTCGCAATGCAATTATCTAATATTGTATCAAATATGTAGACTTGTTGAATTTCAAAAGAACTATTATACATTAAATTAAGGAAAACTAAACAATCAAAGTTACAATATATATATATATATATATATATGTTTTATCAATCAAGAATTTAAAGTACTCACATTTATATTAAATAATATTTAAATGTATATTAAATTAAAATTTAATAACTTAGTATAATTACTTATATGCATGTATTACTGCTCTACTAAAAATTATAATTGACTGTTGAGTTTGTTATTGAAAACTCAAATTATTAAATTAAAATTTCAAGCAAATCTCCTGTTGATTAAATGACTAACCGAAAAGATTTCGTGTATAGACATAATAGTCAACTAAAAATAGGTAAGAACAATTTTACCGTATGTTTAGATTGAAAATTTTTTTAGTGACTCTTCAGTTAAAGTTAGATTTTTATTTTATTAAGTGTTTAATGTTATTGAAAGAATTATAAAATCCGTTTGACCATCTGTACCTACCTCGTTAATTTGAGACTCTAGGCTGGATCGTGACATATCAGAATAATTTTTAAGCCAAAATTTATTTTCCTTTTCCTTTACTAGGCAACAAGTATCACATGAAAGGCAATGAAGCATCTTTTATCCATTAAACAACAACTAACATATGAAAATAATCAGATTATGAGATTCTCAATGAAAGCACAAGGATTATTAAAAAAAATAAAACTGAGCATCAACCAAGTTAGGGCTGATTAAGTTATGGGCAAAAAGAAAACTAAAAGCATACCGCCAATTTGTCATCTGAACAAATCGTTCAATTCCAGCTCCAACTACACGCCATGTGTTTGAACTACTTTCATGAAATATTTCAAAATCATTCATAGAGGCACTTCTTTGCTTTTCTATGGAATCAGCAACATGATTTAGATTTTCTGACTGCGCCCATTCTTCTGCACACAAGAACAAGAAACATAATCACCGAGTGCATGAAAAAATGCTTTAAGAAAAAATGGATCAAGTATCACCAACTAACTTCATAATTTTCTGCATACAGTCTAAACATGGCTGATGCACCTATATAACACATATATAATAGATACAAATAAAGTATGATCTCAGAAATCCAACAAATTAAACATCATAACCTTAAAAGAAATTTTATTTTGGAGAATGAATTGACAGATTAAAGATAAAAGATGGAAACTAAATTAATAAAGCAACAATATGAGAATATTCTCACAAATTGTTAAGTGCTGATCATTGTACCTTAATTAATGGCAGGTAAACTCATAATGAAAGAGAAATTATATATCTTAGATGGAAAATTCCACCAGCCGAGAGACAAATAACGCTATTACGCCATTGGTTGAGAAATTAGTATAAGTGATTAATTAAGTAATGATATTATCAAAATTTTAAATTAACTCCTCCAAAACACTGTTGGGAAAACTAAAATTTGCTTTATTCTTCCCTAACTGCTAAGATTGTCTTCTCTTCATTTAGTTAATTATTATTTATAATTCTGGGAAAAATGAAATAAAACATATAGAAACACCACTTATTATTCGTAGGGATTTGAAAAATAATTTCCACTTCCATAACCCAGTATGTCTGTTTTATGAGATTCTGCTTCACAATTCACGTTATCAAATAAAATTCACTACCACAGCTGTGTGGGTAGATCTTTCTAAGGTTAGAAGTTAAATAAAAAGCAATCCATAATGTTTTCTTTTCCTACTGAACATCAAAATGAAAAAAGAAGAGGTAAAAGACCTTCCACAGCCCTCTTAGCCATTTCCTTCTGTAGAAGTGAATATGCTGCAGCAATAACATCACTCGTTCCCTGACCGTACATTGCACTCATGCATAAAGGCTCAATTCCACGGTTTTTAAGATATTCTTTAAATGAATGCCATTTTTCATATGCTTCTGGAAGATCCATTTTATTAAATGCAACAATGTATGGCTTTTCTGACAACCCCGGGCTAAATAGTTCCAGTTCCAAACGAACTGCATCAAACTCATAATCTGGCCGTTGACTGGAACCATCAACAACATGCACCTATGAAGAAAATGAAGCTTGCTTAAAAAAATAATAAAAAAAACTTAATCATATGCCAAACTGTTAACGAGATGATCCCCATCATGTTGGTCCCTTTGATGCATACAGCTATCATTAAAATAAGGTTGCCAAAGAAAGTTGTTCAAATTTATGCATCAATCTGAGAGGAAACACTTGTAGATCTCAAGTATTTCCTATCAATCTTTGGAAAACAACGAGAATTCTCCACCAAAATCCACACAAAAACAGGAAAACAGTAGATACTTTGTATTATTTGATAAATAGAAACGGAAAATAGCAAGAAACAGTTGATCCTCAATTCGAGAGGAGGATCGATCTCTCCCAAATCTCTAGATGCCGCTAGAGCCCAAAGGAAAACCTAAATCTAAGATATCTCAAATATCATCCAAATTCAAGATAACCTAACCCTAGGAAAACAAACTATTGAAGGCATACAATTCAAAATGAAATTTCTAAACAGTCCCTACATTCAATTTCCCTCCTAAACTTCCTCAAAAATCCTTCCTAAAATGGCTCATGCACGCCATGCGGAGAGTACAGGAGGCGGAGAAATCCGCCTTTGTTTGCGTAGGCCGGTCCAGTCGGACCAGCTATACCGGTCCAATCTAACACAATCCAGGATAAATAAGTTTCCATCATAATTGATGAACATAGTAGCTAAATTAGATTCTTTCTGCATTATATATAAAGTTGAGAACCTCTAGAAATGATTGAGTTCCAGTGCAACACAGGGAAGATACTTGCAAGAAATATAGCATACCAGCACAGCACATCTTTCAGTATGCCGTAGAAATTCATGCCCTAAACCAAAACCTTTATGTGCACCTTCAAGCAAACCTGGCAAATCTGCAACAACCATGGTTTCATCATAATCCATTGACACCACACCTAAATTTGGAAGTAGTGTGGTGAAGGGATAATCAGCTATTGATGGCTGAGCAGCAGTTATAGCACTCAAAAGTGTGCTTTTCCCAGCATTTGGAGCACCTACTATACCAACATCAGCAACCAACTTTAACTCCAGGTCCAACCACCTGTCTAAGAGAAGATATGAAAAAGTAATTAACTAATTCAATAAGTACACAAGTGTAGAGGATTAGCATTTAAGTTAAATAAATGGTATCCTTGTCAAGAGAGAGGTTTCGATTAAGTTGCATTGCCCTACCATGTATTAAGACAACTAAACTTGACGCTCCATCTCCTTAAACACTTCCAATTCATCAGAAGGGGAATTCGATAAGGTAATACAATGAATAACTGAACATACATGACATAGGTTTTCAAGAATGTTTAAGCAAGAAAATTAAGATGGAATGATGCATGGAAATGCTTTTGCAGTAAGAGATGCAAAAGAAATAAGAAGAGAAGCATAAATTGGAACTCCTTTAAGGACAAATGTATATCCACTAAACCTCAGCATATATTTAATCCATTAAAGCCGTTAGCTCCACATTTGAGTCTAAAGGTAAATATGGTAGCACAACAATCATGAAAATGAATTGTCATCCGCAACATTAGTCTCATCCCTGTTATTTGAATTTGGCTTTATGCAGCCTTCGCCTTATATATTAAGTGTCACATAAGTATGACTTTATTTTGTGCAGGTCCTTTAGCACCATTATAAATCATATTAATTATCGTCTATTCTTTTTCATAACCTTACCGGTGTGTCGATGTACTCTATTATATATGCACATAAGTTCATCTTAACATTCTTAATTCTTTCGCACTCTACTTAACTATCAATAGTGGTTTTGTCAAGCAAAGTTGGATCATTGCTAATTCATTACATGCACAGCAATCACCCTATCTTTAACTCTTAGCTGCCTAAACATGCATGTATTGATACAGTCCTAACAATGAATGCCTAAGCCATTTCATTAATCGCATAACAACGGGTTTTCCAATTGAACCCAAGCATTTATATACTTCACAAAAAATTTCTATTATCCGTCCAAGCTTTGATGAGAAAGATTGTGAGTTGATATTATGTCAAAAATAAATTATAAAACTTACGTCAAAACTAACAAAAAGAATCCAAATTTTGACTTTTCTAATGCTAGGGTGTCATTCAAAACCATAGTGTCGTAAGTTAACTATGTGATGAGAACTATATAAAGGTTTTCAAGAATATCATGCCTAAGTGATGTCCCAAAACTTAACATTATGTTGTGAAAACTAGACAAAGGGTGGCTGAGATATCAACCCTAGATAATGCACCACAACTAACCTGTTATGGTGACAATTAAGCAAGATTGGACCAGACATAAAACAAAGATTGGATTTGCTACATGAAATTCGAAAAATTCAAATGAAAAAAATAAGAGAGTTCATGTATACAATGATTAGAAGAATAATGATTTTTACTTGTATGCAATAAATTAAATACAAAGGAGGCAAATTCAAGGAGATTAGCTACCTTCAAGTGTTGATTCCATAGCATCATTATATTTGCTAGAAATCCACTTTTTTACACAAATGTCATCTCTTCTTGTGATGATATATCAAATTTGTATTATTGATCCACATCTTTCATTTATGCAAAAATGGACTTTCAAAAACACCATTCACCGTACCATTGAATGGTAGATAATGCATTCATTTCCCAAGTTTTGTTGTAAATACAACATCGCACCTTGCTTGCAACTTAGTTGTCTCAAGTCTTGCACTTTAATCTCACATGCGATTGTTTTTTTTTTTTTTTTTTTGTCTAGACTTACATCACAATTTCGCTTGCGTCGTAACCATCTCCTTCAAGATCTATACTACAACCTCACTTATGCGGTAGTTGTATCCTACAATATCTACACCACAATCTCATTTGCATTGCCTCTAAACTTGTGCTACAATCTCTCTTGTGCCATAGTCATTTTCATCAAACCCTAAGCCACAACCTCACTTCCATCATAGTCGTCACAACCTCCAAAGTCGATGCTACAACCTCATTTATATCGTAGACATCTCCTTCAAGACCTATGCAGCAACCTCACTTATGTTGTAGCCATCGCCGCATCACAGACTTGTACCATAACCTCACTTGCTTCATAGTTATCTCTTTTAAGGCCTATACCATCATTGTCTCAAGACCTCCATTGCACCCTCACTTGTGTACTGACTATCTCTTCAAAACACCTCGCAAACTTATTTGTCCAACATCCCTTGATGCCTCCACAGTTGTGCTGCACCTACAAATGAAGTACTGCTACTGCTATGTGGATTTGTGGAAGAAAAACAAAAGTTACATGAGTACTAGTTAAGAAGTAATCGATAACCACCTCAACCTCACCAAAGGATGTGTATCACTCTCAATCTCACCAAACAAAGAAAAAGATAACAAATTTACTGCCAAATTAAATTTGAAGAAAAAAGAATCTCAATTGAATTTAAAAAATGTAGTACCTTAGAACATAGATTTGTATGGTTATTTATATGATTTGCTCCATGAAAATTTCTAGGAGTTGTAAGAATAATAAAAAAATATTAAATTACACAAAGAGTTACAATTTTTTTTAAAAAATACATTTAATTGGATAAATTTCAATATTTTGCATCTTTATCTCTCATCCCCCCATATTAAAAGTCTTCACGAAGAAGTTATTTCATACCCACTCCAAATCTTCACGTAGAAGTTACATCAAGACTAATCTAAATCTTCAAGGAGAAGCTACCTCAAGACAAATCCAAAAAGAAGCTTCCACATTATATTCCCACCACAGTGACTTGCCCTAGCATGCTCCAAATGCCCATTTTGTCCATGGTGAGGCCAACCAAAGCAAGAGTGCATGATGCCCATGCAAGGTGGCTAAATTTCCTTTATTCTCTCTTTTTCCACACTTATTTTTCAATAAAAAAAGAAAGTTTAATACTATGATAATAAGCTTATATCATAACAATAAATTTCTTTATTTAAATTATGCAGGTCAATGGATCTGTTTGGGATGGTTGCAACATTTTATATAGTTAGTAGTAAAGTTACTGTGGGGAAAATTACAAGAAAGTAGTAGTCAAACTAAATTGTAACTGTTGTCTAAATAGCAAAGTAACGAAAAAATTGTCCCAAACATACCCTATATATTATTTCTATCTTATCATAGCTCTTATGATAGGTCTACTGTTACATTGCTATTGATGCTGCATCACCTCGCTTGCACCTCAATCATCATTTTAAAGACTTGCACTATAATTTCACTTGTAATACAACCATCTCCTCCGAATCTCCACCACAATCTTGCTTGCTCAACAACCATCTCCTCAAAAGCCATACCACAATCTCACTTAGGTCACAAAATCCTTTAAGACCTACATCACAATCTTACTTGCACCATAACGATCACTGCCACAAGATCTATCTACATTACAACCTCATTTGCACTATTGTCACTGCCTTCAAACCTATGCCACAAATTCACTTGTGTTGTAGCCATCTCCTTTAAGACCTGCACCGCAATCTCATGACTAACCGCAGTAGGTTTTGCACAATCTTACACTTGTCGCAGTCATCGCCTCAAGAGATTCAAATAATATTCTTACTGCAAGGTCTACATCATAGCAGATGTGCATCATTGCCATTCTCAAACACGTTTAAAAAATAGTCATCTTTCGCCAAAATTGCATTATGATGACCACCAATCACACCATACCCCTATCTTCATTACATCTATAACCTATAATGCTCACAACCGATCAAAATGAAGACCTACCTTCATAACCCCTGCTTTCTAATTTTTAATTGCCAGGGCATCTTGCACTAAAGTCAATCGAACAGACCATTATTATACCAATTTTCTGCAAATAGTGGATGTTGCAAAACTTATCAATTGAGCTACTGATTTTTTCACTCAAGAAAAATCTTCTGTGCCGCTCTCTTTTTTACTTGACCGATTGTGTGTACTATCAAAGTAAGCTAAAGCAATCTAGGAAAACTCTCTCTAGGACTCTTACCACGAAACACTCATCATTATCGGATCAAGAATCAATGAGGAAAAATAGGATGAGAACCAAACAGAAATCCAAAAAAAAGGAAACGAAGGCAACAAATTCAAAATGCTGGAAGGAAAAAAAAATGAACTTACATTTCAGCGCCAGCTTCCCCGTTCTCTGCAATCTTTGGGGCCTTCCTTGTCCCTGTCTTGAATGAAGCATTACCCCTCCCGCCCCTTCCACCGGGCAAAAGCAATGCTCTTTGTCCAGGATTCAACAGCTCCAGTAACAACACCCCTTCCGCTGGTCCCTTCCCCGATTCCCTGATGACAGTCCCTGGAGCCACCTTCACCACTACATCCTCTCCCTTCCCCCCTGCCTGCTTCTTCCCCAGGCCATGCCCGCCTCTCCCAGCCCTAAAGTGGACATTTTTCCTAAAAGGAAGAAGGGAATTCATCGACCCATCAACCTCCACATAAACATCGCCTCCTTTACCACCGTCCCCGCCAGAAGGGCCGCCATAGGGCACATATTTCTCTCTCCGGAACGCCACGACTCCGTTACCTCCATCCCCAGCCTTCACGTAAATCTTTGCTCGATCGAAGCAGCGCATAACCGCAGGCACACCTTTCTCCTTGACATCATCCTCCTTCAACTCCTCGTCCTCATCGAGCCCTTCCACGCCAACGTCGTCCGACTCAATTCCAAAGATGACCTCATCATCATCATCCGAGTCAAATCCAAGAAACTCTTCTTCTACGTCGTATCCTTCACCGATCTCTTCCAAAAAACCTGTGGGTTTAGAAGGCTTTTTCGACCGAGAATCCACGGCCAGGACTGCCGCTTCGCGGAGCTTGATGACGTCATAAAATGGAGTAGAGAGACCCGAAGAAAGATCGAGTTGGAAGTCGTCCTTTAAGGGAAGCCGGGTGTAAGAAGTAGCCTCCCCGCCGGCGGAATGAATGGCCGGAGGAAAGTGAAGAGAATCAGAGGGTTTAGGTTTTTCGCGATAAAATTTTCTACTTTTTCTGGACTTATGGCTGCTGCCAGCACTGAGAATGTAGCAGGAGAGAGCTACGGATGCACACGCCATGGCCGCGAAGAAGAATGCGGAAAATCAAATGGGATTTGGATAAGGCAAAATTTTAAGGGTTATATATATATAGCCTTTTGACACTGTATTTACATATGAAAATGAAATTATTGAAGGAAATCTTGAAGATAATATTTAACCTCTTGAAAGAGCCAAGGTGAAACATTAGTTCATTAATAAATCTTTGCTCGTAGTTTAGATACTCATTTATAGTTATCATCAATTGATCTAAAAATATTATCTTAAGTTTAATCTCTTGAGCACTATAACTTCAAATATGATAGTGATTTCTCATATACATTCTCTGTATTGATGTTGAAATACTTCAGAGGGGTGCTTAGATTCTTTTTTATAATTTCTTGAGTTAGGTGAGAAATCAAAACATGTTGATTGATTGTTTTAAGCAGATTGGCACTCAAGCATAAGTGTGTTTGTTATATTTTTCTCGCTGTAAGAGATTGGTCACTTGCATACAATGATTCTTGTATTCTCCGTGGCATTATTGGCACAAACAAATGGCTATGTCTCTAATTTTATTATTAGCTTTGATCTCTTAAGTCAAACATTATTCATGATAACTTTGGATTAGAGCACTTGCTTGAAAATTAAAGGATTATGAAAGTGTGCACCAACTTCTGAATATTTTATCATCTCTAGCTTGGGTTATTAAAAACCCCTCATTATGAGCTTTAAGCCCAAGGTTTGCATTATGAAGATAGTTAGATCATGAATGGTTGCGCTCCAACATGCATCTATTAATATTCGGACATAAAATTGTGTTGGTTTTAATTTTACTCACTTTAAGAAATTGGTCATCAGTAATGTCTTGCCTCGAGATCAAATTTAGATGAATAATAATATATATAATTTTATATCTCGTGATCAATGATCAGTAATAAAATAAAGACATCAATAGGTTCTATCATTTCTATACATATCAATTATAGAATAGTTTAGCTCATATATTCTCTAAGAAAATTCGTACACATATTATAAATTTTAAAATAAGATTTGTAAGTATTTCCTTTTTTATAAATAGCATTTACAAAATGGGGATTGATATATATACCACAACATTATATCTGACATCTAAATCATAATAGTTAATTATATAACATTAAAATATTTAAATCATGTAAAAAATATTAGTAATATTATTTTTTTCTAAAATGGATATGTTTTTTCATATATATATTAACGTGGTTGAAACACCCAAGCGTTAAGTAAGTAAATACTATAGTTTAGATGTTACATATAAAAATTCCAGCCTGAAGTAATCTTTTGTTCACTACATAATATTCACCACATATCCATAGAATTTTAGGCAAAATATTTTCGTCAAAATTTTTGATCTAATTTTTGGTTGAAATTAGTGAACCCGATAGATTAGGGCTATTGATGAATTATATCATTGCTTATAATTATCTTATTTTAATACTTAATAGCAATTTCATTAATTGCAATAGAAGTAGGGATGTCAATTTTTGACACGACCCGAAACACGACCCGAACCCGACTCGAAAAAATCCGGGTTCGGATCAACCCGAACCCAAAACGGGTCGGGTTCGGGTTTAACAAATCAACCCGTTTTAAAAATCGGGTCGGGCTCGGGTTGACCCAGCAAACCCGAGATTGACCCGTTTTTTATCCGATTTTGACCCGAAAATCGAATATTGACCCGATTTTGACCCGAAAATTAGAAATTTTAGGTCAACTTCGGATCATTCGTGTCTGGTCGGGTTGACCTGACCCGTTTTTAAAAACGGGTCGGGTTCGGGTTGACCCGAACAGTCCCTGGTCAGTTCCGGGTTCGACCCGAATCCGACCCGCTGACCCGAATTGACACCCCTAAATAGAAGAATCCTAATTAGTGAACATATGCGATTAGTATAAGCAGATATACTAACACAACAATATGAGATGTAGGCAAAGCTTAGGCCATCTAGGAAACAACATCGAAAGAATTTAGGAGCCTCAGTCTGAGGAGAGTGAAGAGATTGAAGACAATTAGGTGCACTGCATGTATTGTAATATGTGATGAACTTAATCTTGAATTTGACAAAGAAATTTAGAGAATTTTACAATCTAATGTTTATTAGTAAAATTTTCTTTAATGGATGTTTTTTTTCATTGTTAGCTTAGAATATTAGTTTTGAATTATATTAGTTTGTATAATGTGTTGGAATGATCAACCGTGAATTCCAATTGGTTTCCATGCAAATAGAATGTTATGAGTTTTTTTAGTATCTGTCATAAATTTCGCCAATCCAGAATATTTTGATCGAATTTTGTTCATCTGTTTAATTTTTAAGGTTCAATCTTCTGTCAAAAATTCGTCAGAAATTTTTTGCTGGTAAATATTTTTCTATTTAACCAGAAAAAATTTTTGTCCGAAATGAACCCTTCTAATAGAAAATGATACATTTTAAACGGAAAAGTCTGCCAAAAAAAACGGTCATTTTTATTGTAGTGGTTATGTCCGGCTCTGATGATAGGGACGCTAAATTCTAACTTATTTGTAAGTCGTTCTTCATATACAACTAAAATATTATATAAATTATAAAAAATTAATAGGATGAAAAAAATAAAAAACTAAAATATTTTGTATTTTATGTTAATCTAATTAAATATAAGCCAAGTTCGTAGTTATGCAACTAATTAAAATACGTATATAAAAACAAAATTAAAGAACACCCCAAAGAAATTAAATAGGCACAAAAAATGGATGGCTGTGATGGGAAAGTGGTTGATGCGATAAAATGTCAGTTTTATGAATTTAAAAATTTAATTGGCCGAGTTTATAATAGAGGTGCCAATAAATAACCTGATCTGATAATTCCTTATTAGATTTAATTATAAAAATATTTTATTCAAATGAGAAAAAGTAAATAAATAAATTAATAGAATTATAGTTAATATCTGAAAAAATGAATGTTAAAAAATAAAAATATATATGATACATCATCCAAAAATTATCTTGATCGGGCACGAATCTCAAAGCAAAATCATGTTGGAAACTTTCGAAATTAAAATCAGGAGCATCTCAACTCCGATTTCAGCAAACTTACAGTCGAACTGAGCGTCTCGGAAATACGAACCCAACGACACCAAATTCGACCCAATCCAAGCCCAAATGGGTCTAAATCAAGGACCCGAAGCACTGTTGAAAGGTTCAAACCACAATTTGGATTACCAAACGGTTTCCAAACATAACAAGCTTATACTTGAATCGAGTGGATCGACGAGACGAATCCAACGAGCCCAAGATCACTGAATTCCAACATCATTAAGGTCTTCAAATGTCTAAAGAACGGTGCATGATCAAGGGATTCAACATCGGCCGTTCATCCGACCACTCCCCATTTACCCTTGATATCTCACATATTTACGTGCCATGCAACTCCATAAATCTATAAATAGATCTCCCTCTCCTCTTGAGAGAGGACCCCCCTAAGCCTAAGGAAACAAGAGAGAGATCGAAGATCGCTCTTGCTCCCTTGCTTCCTCGACCACCACCGCCGGACTTCTGTCGGACCACCAATTGAGGCCCTCACCTCTGCCGAACCACCACTTGAGGCTCTCACCTTCGTCGGACCACCACTTGATACCCTCACCTCCGCCGGACCACCTCCTAACGTCGTTGCTCCGCCAGACCACCACTTAAGGCCCTCACCTTTGCTGGACCACCACCTGAGGCCCGGACTTCGCCGTACCACCACTTGAGGCCCTCACCTCCGCCGGGCCACCGCCTGACGCCGTTGCTTTACCACTTGAGGCCCTCACCTCCACCGGACCACTGCCTAACGCCGTTGCTCCACCAGACCACCACTTGAGGCTCTCACCTCCGTCGAACCACCGTCTGATATCGTTGCTCCACCGAAACACCACTTAAGGCTCAGACTTCCGCCAAGCCGTCACTTGAGGCCTTGTGCTCCACCAGGACACCACTTGAGTTCCGACTTCTGTCAGACCACCGCTTGAGGCTCGAAGTTTTGTCGAACACCCGCTTGAGGCCATGTGCTCCACCAGAATATCATATGAGGCCCGGACTTCCGCCGGACCGTTACTTTAGGCCTTGAGATCCACCAGGCCACCACTCGATTCCTAGAGTTCTTCCAAAACACTGCAACCTCTATCAACAGACAAAGATCTTTCAGACCCCAGTCTCCTGCCAACTGTGGTCCTTCAGATCTTCGTCGCCTACTATGGCCCTTCCGACCTTCATCACCAGACAATGATCTTTCAGACCCCGGTCTCCTGTCAACTACGCTCTTTCAGACCCAGGTCTCCTGCCAACTACGGTCTTCCAGACTCCTATCTCCTGCCGACTACGATCCTTCCGACCTCCATCACCAGACAACGGTCTTTTAGACCCCGATCTTCTGTCGACTACGGTCCTCACGTCCTCTGTCGTCTACTACTGTCCTTCCGACCTACATTGCCATATAATGGTCTTCCTGACCCCAATCTCCTACCAACTACGGTCTTTCGGACCCTCGTATTGTGCCAACTATGGCCTTTCCAACCAAACAAACATGTATATTATTGTAACTCTCACTATGTAATGCGCTCTATATGATGTACATTTGTACCATCAAGCCAAGGCCTTCTCCCAAGGAAGGGCCTCATTTGTAATCGACTGCAAATACTAGTGAATTCATTCAAACTGGGCCAGTCCCCGTGGTTTTCCCCCTTTTTCAGGGGTTTCCACGTAAAAACTACGGTGTCTCTTATGAACGCTATATTCTCTCATTTATCTGATTGTGTGCTGGATCTTCGTACAATGCTAAGACGTTAAACTATATATTTTCTCTACCGCCGCGAATACTCCAGGACGCAACAATATATATTAGAATAAAGCGCATTAAGATTTTTCTTAAAATTCTTCAATTTATATTAAAATTAGTGCATTTCTAAATATTATTTATATAATTAATCTAAAAATAAATTTTGAAATATTTAAAATTTATTTTATTATATTTTATCATTTAAATATCATATATATTTTTTCAAAAACAAAAGCATAAATTTACATTCAGATAAACATAAAAATCTCAAAATAGTCCTAGATTATTCATGCATGGCCAGTTTAATTTCAAAGTATCACTTTGCCTTGATTTAATCTCTCGATTATACAAAATTTATCAAATATAATTCTTCAAATCATAATTGTGATATAAAATCGGTTTCATTTTAGTTTCTAGATTTTACAAAATTGATCTCAATTTAGCCTTAAAGTTATCATTTTGAATCAATTTTTTATAATAAAAAAAATTAAATTGAAGCAATATGATCGCACATAAATAGTTCCAAATTATTTTGAAATTTGACCTTAAAAGATAAATATGGATGTTGCAACGGTCTAAAAACCAGAACTACCTAAGCATATCCACAATTTGATCCGCTGAAAAGATTGATCTAATCCAATTTTTACAGTGTACCACAACAGGCCAGAAAAAGACAATGCAATAAATAGCTCAAAAGAGTATTTTGGGACTGCCGTCCTAAACACGAAGATCTTTTGGTGTGATAAATAGTTTAATGGAAGAAACAAGATAACGACGAAGAGGAAGGTGTGGGATCAATCGACAGTTGGGAAAGTCTCGGAGTTTTTATAGAGAAGAAACGCCGCTGGAGCAGTCAGTTCATCGTCCCTCTCTCTTTGTCGCTTTCTTTTGCTGCTTATATCTCTTCATTTGGTAAAAAGATTCACTTCTTTATTAGATTTTCTTTCTGTTTATTTTGAAAAAGTTTGATTATATTTGTTTAGCTAGCAAAGTTTTTTTTTTTTTGAAGAGCGTTCTTCTCGTTTGGATTCTAATTTGTGCCTCTTTTGATCAGTGATTTTTTTTCGTAGAATCTTTAAACTTGTCTGATTTAAAAAAATGCTTTGGGTTTTCGATGCATTTTTGAAAACCTCATCATTTTGTTGATGATTCATGATCAGCAATACTTCCATCATTTGTTTTGTTTACAGAAAAAAAAAAGCGAAGTAGCAAGTTGATTTCCGCTCTTATTTATGTGAAGTAGGTGTGAGGAAACACTCGTCTCTGTCCCTTCCGCTCCTACCCGAAACCCTCAGCGAAAAATAGAAGTGAGGAAGTCGCGAACGAAGAAGGAGGTCAAAAAGATCATTATATTAATTAAATTATCCAACAATAACTTAGAGGAGTCCAGGTTTACCTTTCCTCGTTTGGCTTCGTTCCTTCGCATGGGTGTAGAGTTTTGCACGAGTTCTTCTTGGTCGCTGTCGACTTTGCTACTTCGACGACGTTCCCTTCCTGTTGGAGCGGAAGTTACGACATTTTTTTTTGATCGGAAGCAACAACGGAGCTCGCTTGCTGTGAAGGTAACTTTCTCCCTTTCGCGCGCTTCTTCGGACAAATCCCGTAAATCCGCCGAACCAAAGGATTTCGTAAATCCGGGATTTACTACGAAAAGAGGAAATTTTCCGTCAACCGCGGCTTTGATTTACCGTGAGATTTGGTTTTGCGTTTTTGGCCGTTTGGCTGGACTTAGCTCAAATCAACTTCAAATCCGACCTAAATCCTGCATCTGTTTGGTAGAATCTAGGATTTCATTTAAGTAGTATTTTGTAAATCCTCCAAATCCGGATTTACGAAATCTTGGGGGTTAAATCCTAAAAATTGTTTGGTAACATTCATGATAAATCCAGTTTAATCTTGTGTGACCATTTGGGTATACAAGTCAGGATTTAAGGCAATTAAAAGATTTAACATTCGGACTTCCTCTCGCGCAAATAAGTAGTTAAATCCGCCAAATCGGTGGATTTGCGAAAACCGGGATTTACCGCAAAAGGTGGTCTTTTTCTGTCAACTGCGGATTCCATTTACCGTGAGATTTGGATTTGCATTTTAGGCCGTTTGGCTGGATTTCGCCCGAATCCGGCCTAAATCCGCATACCAAACAGCCCCTAAATCTTACTTGCTGCCAACTTCTTCAATTCACCAAACTTAGTAAATTCAGGATTTGGACCAAAACAGAGGTAAATGGAATTTAGAAATATGTAGGATTTATTTTGGCTTTTTCGATAGTTTGGCATTATTTACAGTAAATACTGCATAAAGCCGACTACCAAACAGCCCTTCTGATTAAAGTTCAAAATTTTCATTATTGTTCTAACATGTATGATTTCAGGGCTTGCATGATCAAAGAAATGAAGCTTAGGGGGTTCCTTCCAGTGCTATTGAGCTTGAACTTGGTCATATTGACTGTTGTAAGCTATCTTGATGTTCCATTTTGTTTGCATTTGTGGTTCTCTTCTTAAGGATTAATGAGATTTACTTTTTGTCATGAATTGTTTCGAATTTCATGATTACAGATTGCTTTGTCACAGACATGCCCAGCTGATATCAATGCCAAGTGCGGTGATGATTCTTCAGATGGATGGGAAGGGGAGTTCTTTCCTGGAATTTCCAAAATCAAATATGAGGTAATTATCTTATTCGAACCATATATTGATTTTTAGTTTTGTAATGAAATTACTCTTTTTTTTGGATGATTTCTTCCTTGTTTGGTTTTGTCTCTACATGGAACTGCTTTCTTTGTTAAGATGATTCCTTCTATTTGTTTAGCTTTTTTTTTTTTCTTCTCTGAAGTAAATCATGTAAAGAGCATGCTCTAACCTTTTCATTCTAAATTTTTTTTCAGGGTCCTAATAGCAAGAACCCACTTTCATATAAGTGGTATAATGCTGATGAGGAGATTCTTGGAAAGAAAATGAAGGTTGGTTTATTTGAAACCGCCAATATGGCTAGAGTCTATTGGTATTATTTATCTTATTTTAATGTTTGCTACTATGGCCTTTTGATTACTTCAGGATTGGCTGAGATTTAGCGTTGCTTTCTGGCATACATTCCGTGGAACTGGAGCTGATCCTTTTGGTTCTCCGACAAAAACATGGCCATGGGAAGATGGCACAAATTCAGTAGCAATGGCCAAAAGAAGAAGTAAGGGAAACAAACTTATCTTTTACTTTTGTTGAAATACTAGAACTCATCTCTTTTATGTCTTTATAGTGAAAGCAAACTTCGAGTTCATTAACAAGTTAGGAGTTGAAAGATGGTGTTTTCATGACAGAGACATTGCACCTGATGGAAAAACACTTGCGGTATGTACCTTTTACAATTCTCATTATGATTTTTTAATTTGTTTCTATAAAGAATGAAACCTCATAATATGTACTAAAGCTTTGAAGAAAATGTTTGTGCAATTTACGTTGATATACAAGTGGCATGACAATGACAATAATATAGGGCTAGTCCTGATTAGTTGACATTGTAGTAGAGCAAGGTTTATAATTGCGTAATTAAGCCTCGAGGGGGTTTTTGTCCGTGAGGCGAGGCGTAAGCAGAATTGCGTAAATGAAAAATTAAGGGTTTTAGCAAGAAAATAATAGCAATAAAATCAGGAAAATAATAGCAATAAAGTAAGAAAGTAGATGCAATCATGCAATAAAATCATGTCTCAAAGTACAAAATCACAAAATATTAGTTCAACAAAACTCTCAAAGTACAAAAAAACATATAAAATGCAATCATATCCCATCACTAAATGGGTCTTTAAGTGAATCTTCTTCTCCAATTGTATCTATGAATGCCATGTCATCATCATCTTCAATATGACTCACTTTTCTCTTCCCTGTTCAATAAGAGAAAAGATCATTAGCATGTTAATTGCTCACTTGATATAAATATACTGCGATAGCATATAAGAAGTTGTGGAAGGTGCTTTCAACCCTCTTCCATACAATCATACAGACCGCAACATACTGAAGTAGGCAGGCGATGTAGCAACATTAAATGGTATTGCATTCTAAAAAAAAAAACCTCCAAATGTCCATGCAAACCTGTCGCCGCTCATCTCGAGTACCAGCTGCAGGCATCATCTCTGCTTCTCCTCTATTCGCTCCTAGATTAGTCATATATTGATCCATAGGACCCCGTGCACCTCTATTATGTATAGTGGAGGAAGAGCCCTTTCTACTCTCGCTCCCAAAATAAGCACCATGTCCGACCCTTTCATCAAATTGCTCATGTTGTAAGTGTTTTGTAGTGGTAGTTTTCTTCATGTAAGCACTTATTTCCTCCTTCACATTGTCCGACACTTTTGCACATGGTGCTACGTTCTTGTGAGAGCATGATAACTGCTCCTTCATGCGGGTTACTCCTCCCTTCACCACTTTGTCACAAAAATTGCATTTTAAATAGACATACGTTTTCTTGCCCCCTCCTACATCAACTTGCACGCTATATTTCCAAGAAGGGTCACGTCGCAATGACGTATTCACCTTTTCTTTACATCTAACCAACCCTAAACTTAAAAAAATACCTAAAATCCAATGTGGAGTACTCCTAGAGGGCAACCGGAAGTTTCAACTTCGCCGGAGAGAGGCGGCGCCGGCGGGAGAAGCGGCGGGAAGGAAGCCGACGGCGTGCGGGACCTCTGTTTCGAGAAACGGAGCATGCGGGAGGGGGAAAATTCGGGTTTGCTGATGCCATTCGGGTATAAGGAGAGAAAAAGATTCAATTTAAGTGAGTGGGCCCTAAACCATTGAGACGTACGCCTCACTAGGAATTGAGCAATTGCGCCTCTGAGGCGTGCCTCAGTCCCAGTGAGGCGTACGCCTCTTACAGAGGTGGAATTGCGTAGGTTTCAAGGCGCTTTTGGGAGGAATTGCGCAGAGGCGCGCCTCTAATTGCGCAATTTTAAACAGAATAGTAGAGTGTTAGTTGTTGGGTTTAGTAATTGTGTTAGTGGTTTTAGATATGAAGTTGCTGAACATTTTTGGGCCTTAGTAGCAACTACAAATGTAAGGTTATTCTATTCTATTGAGTCTACCTAGTCTTGATCAAACCTTGTTAATCTGCTTTGTTCATGCTCTTGTTTAATTAGGATTACTATCTTAGATATGCATTTTTTAACAATACATTTTTTTTATTTACTAGGAAACTAATGAAAATTTAGATGAAGTAATTGCTGTTGCAAAGCAACTTCAAGAGGTATTGCATTTTCCCTTATCATTTTAATTTCAGAACTTGAACATTTTTTTAATGCCTGACTTTGTTATGCCGCAGGGCACTAATATCAGGCCATTATGGGGCACAGCCCAACTTTTCATGCATCCTCGTTACTTGCACGGTGCTGCCACTAGGTCTGGCTTTCTCCTAATTTTTCATATGGTCAATCTTATGTCTTGTGCACGAACATTTTTTAACTATTTCCTTTAATTTTGCAGCTCTGAGGTTGGAGTTTATGCTTATGCTGCAGCTCAAGTCAAGAAAGCTATGGAGGTGGATCTTTTCGTTAATCAAATATGTATATTTTACCTTGCATTCATATACAGCTGAACGCACATTTTTTCTGTAGGTCACCCATTATCTTGGAGGAGAAAACTATGTTTTCTGGGGCGGTCGAGAAGGGTACCAAACTCTCTTGAATACTGATATGAAAAGAGAACTTGATCACCTGGTATGAGCTTCATCTTTTAGTTCAGGGCTATATTGTGATATATGGCCATTGTTGTAACTTCTATTTATATTTTCAAAACTTCTAAATTTTGAATGAATGCCAGATTTTTGTTTATTGACAAACATCTTATGGTGTTTCTCTACAGGCAAAGTTTCTCCAAGCCGCTGTTGACTGGAAGAAGAAGATTGGGTTTACTGGTGCATTTTTTAAACTCTATTTTATTGTGAAGTTGAAGCATCATATTTATATTTTAGACCCCACGTAGTGGGATAAATACTTGATTTTGTTGTTGTTGATAAAGCGCCGTACTTATAACTGAAGTTCTTTAATTTTGCAAAGTGCAAGTGAACTACTAGTGTGATAGTGGTGGTTTAGAACAGAATACTAGAAGTATGTGATATGCTTGATTAAGCTCATAAATAATGTTGATTCACTATCTTATGCATAACTAATTAACTTTGATTTGAGCCTATAGTCAAATTGATCTTGTTTATGTGATATGCTTGATCCAAAAACTTCGTATATAGGGGGCCTAATTTATTTTTTTAAAAATCCCCCTCAACTTACCAAATAACTTGTTTAGAAGGTAAAGTGAAAGGATGATAACAATAAATTGCCTTAGCAGTAAACGAATGCCACAAAAGCAGTTGATCCAAGTGAAAAAAGTAGTCCTTATTTCAGCAAGGGGAAGACAAAATAATACATAAACCTATGATATCATCACAAGTGCATTGATACCTCACAGGATCGATCAAGAATGCAGTGGATTGAATTATTGTAAGTTTATAACCGCACACCATTAAAAAATGCAATGGATTGAATCATTTAGACAAAAAAAAAAATAAAAACTTAGAGCAGAAACATATATCTCACGCCTCAAGGAAGAAAAACAAATCTGCACAAATTACCTTTCAGGATCGGTTCGATGCCTTGAGCAGAGCAGATGAACGACAAAGGAGGCATCGGAACTTCCTCACAGATCCTCACACAAGGAGTTGTCGCCTCATCGGTTGAGCAAGGATGGCAAATTGCGCGTGCAGAGCAATCGCAAGCGAAAAAGAAACTTATGTTTTCTTCTTCCCCTTGCTAAAATAAGAACCTGCAGCCAGTAGTGAGAGTTTCCAATTTTCGGAGGTCGGGCACGTGCCCCCTAGGCATCCCCCACAACAATCCGCCCCTAATTAGTCCACCACCCCCAAATTTTCAACTTTTCGAAGCTGCAACCTCTCCAACCCTTAATTTCATGTTTCATTTATAATAAATGATTAACTTCAATAAGATGAATAACAACAACAACAAGCCTTTATCCCACTACATGGGTTCAGCTATGTGAATCTTTTTCTTCATTATGTCGTATTAAGAGTCAAATTTTCATTTAAATCTAATAAAAAAATATTATTAATACTTTCTAATGGCGGCCTTCCGAAGACCTGATTAGGAAAGTAAATGTATTAGATTTGATTTATGTTAAGAAAGATAGAGGTAGACCTAAAAAGCCTTGGTTGGAAAACATTAGAAATGGTATTTCTTTATTAGATTTAGATGAAAATTTGATTCCTAACATGACACAATGTAGAAAAATGATTCATGTAGCCGACCCCACATAGTGGGATAAAGGCTTGTTGTTGTTTTTGTTGTTGTATTAATAATTTCTAACCAAATCTTTTTAGGTCTACCTTTACTTTTCTTAATATAGGCCAGATCTAATACATCTATTCTCCTAATCTGGTCATCAGAAGATCAATATTTTATCTGAGCAAACTATCTAAAGTGACTCTCTCTAATCTTATCTTCCATTGGAGCTACTCCAATATTTTCACGTAAATACTCATTTCAAATTCTATCTCTAGTGTAAAGCCATTCATCGAGCATCCTCATCTTTGCAACGCTTAATTTTATGCTTTTCTTGTAATAGCCAACATGCTACTCCAAAAGCATTAGAAGTCTCACCATAATCTTATAAACTATTCCATTAAGTTTGAGGGGTACTTTTCTATCACAAAAGATGCATGATAAATATTCTCTTCTAAGAAAAATACTTTGAAAAGTTTATCGAAACATATTATCCACCTATGTTGAATATCTTCTTCTAAAAAAAACACTTTTGATTTTCATCTTTAATGCGCTTCACTTGAAGCAAATTGTTTACTTCTATCTCTTTGCTTGACTAACTTATGCATGCATCTTTTGCCATCTTTTATATCTAATTTATTATATTCATTATTAAAATCTAAATTATTTGTATCACATATTGCATTCTTACAATCACTATGTTCTCTATATCTTTCTCAAAATTTTAAGCTTTTATATTTAAATAAATTTTTATAACAAAACTAATTATTTATCTTTTCTTGCACATTTTGATTCTACCACGAACTATTTTTACTATTAGAAGCTTTTCTTTTGATTCTCCAAGCATATAATTTGAATTTGTTAATAAAAAATTTATAAGGCATCATCAATTTTTTTTTGGCAACATCAAATTTGAGCAGAAAATCTACTCAATTTTGTTTCTTGATGATTAGAATTTCATTTTGTCACTTTTGTTGGATTTGATACTATATGATTTTATATTTAGATTGCTAATATTGATGCATTGCTGGTTTCAATTGCTTCCATATCACCAGCTTCTTGGGTTGTCCTTGGCCCTGAGCCATAGGCCTATAGTCGTCAAAGAATATTAGACCTTGCTCAATGTCCTCCTCCCATGGCAAAGCTAAGCACAAGAATAATTGATCTTGTGTCAATCTCCTAAAATTGGTTTGTTTTGTATTTTAAAAGTTATGATTGCGTTTTGTAAATATGGCCTCAAGGGTTCGTGTTTTAAAAATAGATTTCTTTTATTAAAGGTTTTGAAGGCATTTTGCAAACATGAAATAAAAAATCTTTGCAATATTTGTGATCAAACATTTTTTTATTTCAAACTTAATTTTGGCAAAAGTTAAAATTAGTAAGTCTAATTTTTTTACCATTGTCCAGTAATCAGCAAGAGGCATAAGTCCTATCAACTTCTATCATGGGTACACTAATGATAGAACATGAAACACGACTTTCTATTATGGGTACGCTAATGATAGAACATGAAACATGACTTACGACCCTACTCTATAGGTAGGCCGACGTGTTCGAGAATGTGAGTTCAATATGTCAATAATCTTATTTTTAAAAAGATGGTTAACATGATTTCAAAATAAATTGTGTCCATTTTAGGATAGTTATACGCTTCTCGAGACGAGTAAAAAATGAATTATCCCTTTTTCAATCCGTGCAGCATTTTTGGACTTTTTATTCGAGCATTTAGCATGTTTGTCAGAGCCTATGCAGACTAAATTGATTTCAGTGATTCTATATATCGGGCATGCCTTTTGATGCATTTGCATTTGATGCATTTGCATTTTGCATAGAGCACTTACACATTTCATGATGTATTTGCTCACTTTAAATGCACTATAACCCCCATTTCGTTTCAACGATCTTTAAGAATATATGCAACCTCATTTACATCATCATCATCGCAGCCTCAAGACTTGAGCTATAGCTTTGTTGCACAACCGTCTCCTTCAAAACTTCTCTTACAATGCATCCAGATCCTTCAAGTCCTACAACGTTAACTTGCCTGTGTCATTGTTGCCGTTGCCTTCAAACATATGAATTAGTAAACTTTTTCAAAACCAAGGTCAAACCTCGCTTACATTATAGCCATCATTTCGTTAAAACCTGCATTGAAATATCATTTGCATTTTAGCTATCACCTCCATACCTGTGCACAACTATCCCTGAATTGTAACTATGCCCTACAAGACCCACATTATAATCTGTTTTGTGTCACAATTATTGTCACATCAGGACCTGTACTAAAGCCTCGCATGTGTTGTGATCCCCCTCCATGACATTAATCATGGTAGTGCTTTCTCACAGTCTACACCGCAACCGCCCTAGTGAGAACTATGTTATAGCCAATTTTAGCAAATCTAAATCATAGTCATCCAACCAGGATTGCATAACGACCACCTCTAATCACATAATAGCCCTTGCCATCGCATAGATCTACAATATTTACAATTGATGCACATTGGGACCAACCTTAGTACCCTCAGTTTTATATTCTCCAACGGCTCAAGAGATATATGTCTTACTCTCTTTTATACTTGACTAGTTGTGTTTGCTGTCATAACTAAGGTGATTGGAGTATAATATATCTCTACTTAGACTTCTAGAATGCAACATTCTCTTTTATATTTGACTACTTGTGTCTGCTGTGACAACTAAGGTGATTGGAGTCTATGATCTCTCTATCAAGTTAGACTTCTTGCATGCAACATGACCTATCAAAAAAAAAAAAAAAAATCTTCAATGGTGCTGAAATATAAAACTTCAGATATTCAACATATTTTTGGTTAACGTTAAATACGCACATTATATATGAATAAAAATTCTAAAAGCACGAAATTGACTGCAAGAAGCATCATTGTGAAGCTTGCTTAACAAGGTGTCCAAATCCACAAGGTTGGTCCTTTAAATTTCAAACCTATGCAAGTACTTAGGCAATTCATTAGATGACAATAAAAAAGGGTTGTTATCATCAATAACTCACTTAGGCTCATTGGCCTTACAATTTATTGATCATGTATTCATTAATGTTAATCTTCCCTTTTTTTACTACTTGTAGCAGAGTTGATGAAATTCTCCACATCAAAGTTTAACTTTAGCTCTTGTAATTTTATGATGTTTATGACGATGACTTGGATTTGTCATTATACAGGCACTCTGTTGATAGAACCAAAGCCCCAAGAACCTACCAAACACCAGTATGCAGACAGCTAAAGCCTTTAGGACTTGGACTCAACTTTTGGCATCTTACTTATGTTACTTTTTTTTTTGCTAGGTATGATTGGGATGCTGCTACCACATATGCTTTTTTACAGAAGTATGGCCTTGAAGGTAATTTTCTTAATGGGTCTTTGCTTTGTTTATGGTTACACTCAAAATGAATCGTGTACTATGTTTATCTAATGAGGTTCTCATTTTTCACTGATGTAAATTGTTATGGGCTTATTTGGTTGATTTTGATAGTACTCAGATTGATCATTTTCTTATAAGAAAAATAGATCTTTTAGATTGCAAAATTTGTTATAAAGTTATTTCGAGTGAAAATTTATGAACCTAATATTATTTTTTAGTTTTGGACTTTAAGATGGAAGGACGGAATATGAAAAAATAAAGTAAAATATTATTCTAGGACTAGATGGGGCATTTAAAGAACATAAACAAAAAATATTTTTGAGAGTAAGATTTAAGAGATGGAAAAAAGTAGCTATTGATATGAGAATGTTGTAAATGATGTGCTTGGAGTATCAAAAAGAAAAACCCCTGATAGTAAAAATAGTTGGTGGTCAAATCAAAATGTGCAAAAAAAGATAAAAAAAATAAGTAACTTTATTATACAAATTGGTTTGGATGTGAAGGCTTGAAAAATTGAGAAATATATAAAAGGGCTTATAAAGAATCTAAGAAAGCAATATGCAATGCTAAAAATTTAATTTTTAATAATTTATATAATAGATTAGATACTAAAGTAGGTGAAAGATGTAATATAAGCTAGCCAAACAAAGAAATATGAAAATTAAGAATTTAATTCAAGTGAAGTGCATTAAGGATGAAGATCAAAAAGTGCTTTTATTAGAAGATGATATTCAACAAGAAAATGAAGTGCGGAAAAATGATTGTACTTGGTGATATTCCAATATAGGTGTGGAATCGCTTAGGAGATGAATGCATTTCTTGACTTACAAAATTTTCAATATTATTTTGAAGACTAAAAAGATGTTAGATGAGTGGAGAAGTATGTTGATTCTTATTTTTAAGAATAAAAGTGATCTACAATAGTGTACAAATTATAGAGGAATTAAGTTAATGTTTCATACTTTAAAACTATGGGAGAGAGTTATTGAGTATAGGTTATGACGTCGGGTAGGTCTACTATGGAAGCTATACATTTATTGAGGGGTTTGATGGAGAATTATAGAGAGAATAAAGAGGATCTACATATGATATTTATTGATTTAGAGAAAAGATATGATAAAGTTCTAAAAGAAGTGTTCTAGAGAATTCTAGTAAAGAAAGGAGTTAATAATGCTTATATTCAAGTCATTAAAGATATGCATGTTGAAACTGTTACTTTTGTTTAAACACAATGTGATTTGACCAAGGATTTTCCTATTTTAATTGGATTACATCAATGGTCAACGTTAAACCCATATCTTTTTTGCTTTAGTCATAGATATTGTTACTAGACATTTACCAGAGAATGGTCCTTGGTGTATGCTTTTTGCTGATGATATCCTTATTATTGATAAGACTAGAGACAGAGTTGAAAGAAAACTTGAATTATGGAGGTCAACCTTAGAGTCTAAATGTTTTCGTTTGAGTAGATTTAAAATAGAATACATAGTGTAATTTTTGTAGTAATAGATCTATTGGGGGGATTGTTACTTTGGGTGATTAAGCCATTAATAAGAGTACACGTTTTAGATATCTTGGGTCTATTGTTCAAAGTGATGGTAAAATAGATGGGGGTATTATTAACTGAATTCAAGTTGAATGGTTGAAGTGGAGGAATGCATCGAGCCTTTTGTGTGATAGAAAAGTACCCCTCGAAATTACATGAAAATTCTATAAGATGATGGTGAGACCTGCAATGCTTTATGGCATAGAATGTTGGCCATTAAAAGAGAAGCATAAAGATAAGTTAAGTGTTGCATAGATGAGGATGCTCATGTGTATGAGTGGCTTTATTCTTAGAGACAAAATGTGAAACTGGTATGTATGTGAAAGCGTCGGAGTATCTCCGTAGATAATATTAGATAGAGTCTCCTTAGATGATTTAGGTACATAAAACGTCGGACTTCTAATGAGCCGATTAGGAGAGTAGATATATTGTATTTGACCTATGTTAAGAAAGTTAAGGGTAGATCTAAAAAGACTTGGCTAGAAAATATCAGAAATGTATCCTTTTTTTATTAAATTAAGATGAGCTTAATAGGGCACAATAGAGAAAAAATATTTATATAGCCAACCCCACGTAGTGGGATAAAGGCTCAATATTGATGTTGTTGTTGTTGTTGTGTTTAGATAGAAAAGATGTGTTCTAGAATATGACTTATTTTGTGAGTTGAAATAAAATCAACATTTTTGAGAGATTTAAAAGATGCTTAGAGTTTAAAACCCATGTTGATTTGTAAGTACATCATATTGCAGAATCAAGGAAATTTATTGTTTTTCAAAACATGTTTTCTCACTTAAAGCAACCAAATGAGCTCTCTTAGTAGAAATCACATAAACATTCATAATTTATTCCAAGTATAATTTATGATATTGCACAACTTGTATAAGGCTTGAAATATTAGTTCCAGTGCCTGTATTTCCTGACAAGGCCTATGTTGTTGGAATAAAACGCCCTTGAGTAGAAATCATGTAAAAAAAAAAGGGCGTTTTATAGCTTCATGCATTGTTAACCTAGTACATTTTTATCTTTTTTGTTGTGTGATATACTCTGAAAGAAACTTCTCATGTCTTTACTTATTTCATGTGTAAGAATTTATTCAGGCCTTTCTCATATCATGTTTAAGTCGGTCTAGATATTAAAATCTGGTTGTAATTAAGTGTTATTTTCTTGGAAATCAATAGGCATATATTTGTAGGGAGCGTTGCATTGTTTAGTATGTATTTCTTTTTAAACACTGAGAAATTTATTTTAGGTATATTGAACTTCAAAATATGCGAACTGTGTGATTTTTGTTCTTATGACGTTCTTACCTCTCTCTCTC